AGTTTCATAACATTTAAATAATTTTATATTAATTTATTAATAAAAATATGTGTTAAAAAAAATTCTGGTTTTTTTTTTGCATACTACTGTATATGTCAATTATAATATAAAAAATATTTAAAATAAAGATAACTTTTTCTATTAATTTTTTTGTCAATCTTCAAAACCAATGTTTTAAAAAATTATATATTTTTTTATAATAAAGTTTATATACTTTTCTTAACAATATTAACATTTAAAGGCTTTAACTTTTATTTGTTTTTTTTTTCTTTAAAATAAATATTTTATATTTTAGCACGTAAATATAAAAAAAAAACCATCTATAAAGTTAATAGTAAGAATACTTTGTTAAAAATAAAACTTGTTAAAAAAAATATTATTTTTATTTTTCTTTCAGAAATTCAAGATTCTAAAAAATATAAACTTGACTTTTGAAACTTCAAATTATTTTTTTTAAGTTTTTTTTTTTTTGAGTAAACAAACTTTTTTTAATTTTTTTAAAGAATTTTGTCTATTTTAATTTAATCTTAAATTTTTTATTATATTAGAATCCTAAATAATAATTAGTTGAAATTTTGAATTAATTGATTAACAAGTAGTAAGAAATGTAAATAAAACTAATAATCTTTATTTTTTTTATCTTTATATACAGTATATGATAGAAATTATTTGTTATTAACTTAATTCTCAAAATTCTCAAAAATAATTGTATTATAACTTAATTATTTATATGTTTTAATAGTAATTTAATTAATTGCATCAAATAATTATATAAATTGTAACAAGAATTTATAAATTTCAGCAATATACAGTATATATCCATTTTGTATAACATGAAATTCAATAATATAATCAGTTCAAGTTAAAAAGAACAAAATAATAATATATTTGTTTTGTAAAAAAGTAATTTAATACTTTTTTTCTTTTCTTTTGTATTAATTTTGTTTTTTTTTTAAATTAAAGAAAGATTTTATTTTAGAAGCTAATATAGTATGCTAAAGTTCCTAAAGGTGTACAAATTAGTACAGTTCTAACATATATAGGATTATGCAAAAAAGGTAATAATGCTTTGTTTTATAAAGGTCAAGATATTTATTTGATAAAATATAAGTTTAAGCTTATCAATTTCTAGATAAAATTGGAGACTTTATATATACATTTAAGATATAATATTTTTGTATATGATAATTATGAATTATAAGAAATAATAAAGATATAAAAGAAGTGTTATATTTATCAGAATAGTTATTTATATGTATTAGTATAAAAACAAATGCTTTGGCAAAGATAAAAGAATAAAAATAACTAAATAAAATAAAAAATATTTTAGAGCAACAATAGTATGAAAAACACAGTGCTAAACATTAACAAGAATGGTAATACAAGAATTATTCTAGAATAAGCAATATTTCAAGGGTAAATGTTAGTAAAATTGGATAAGAGTAATGATAATCTTGGATAAAAATCAAATATAACAATATAATTTGTTTATATATATAATTTATTTAAATTAAATTATTTTTATTTATTTTAATTGAAATAAATTTACTTAAATTTTAAGAAAATATTTTATTAAATATTTTTATTTTTAAATACAAATTTTATTAATATTATTAAAAAAATTTATTAAAACTATAAAATACTTAAAAATTTTTATATTTGTTAAATTTATAATTGATGATTATTTTTAAATATTTATAAAGTATATAAATCTGTTAATGATTGTTTGTATTGATAATATATTTAATATATTTTTTTCTATTTTTTTATAGTTATTATTGTTTTTTTAATTAGATTTTAAGATAAACTACAAATTATATTCTCTATTATTAATATTATAATATCTTATAATTTATTTTCTAATTAGCAATAAAGAGTATTTTCTAAATAAAATATAGACAATTTAAAAATACTTGTTATTTCAATTTCAATTTCTTATTTGATTAAATAAAATTTATTATCATTAAGATAAGATCTTTCTTATAATAATCTAATTTATTGTTATTAACAATTTGTATTTTTTTTAAACAAGTTGTTACAATCATATATTTCAAAACTTTAGTATTAATATAAGCAAGCTTATTATATTTTTAAGTTTTATAAGTTTTCTAAAAAATGATTTGTTTTTTAGTTTTATGTATCAATATTTCAAGTATTCTTTTTTTATCTTCAATTTTTTTATACCTGATTTAAAACCTTATCAAATGATTCCTATACTTATTTTACTTATCGAAGAACATTTCATCTAACCTTTTAGAAAGTTTTCCGAAACATATCACATGTCTTACCAGAAGAATTGAAACCATCTGTCAAAAGCCTTGATATTCACCTCAAATTTATTATGAGGTTTTTGTACTTTGCCTTTTAAAAACCTTTAAAACGTATTTCACGTATTATCGGGAGCATTAAACTTACCTCTTTGAGAGACATTATTGTATTTTGGCTAATTTTTTTGTACTTTTCGTTTTGGTTTTTTTTTTTGCACTACATCACATGCTAGTAATTTTTTGAACGTTCTTAATTTTTTGATAATATCTAAATGAAATAGATTTTATACTATTTACTTTTAATGGTTTAAGAGACGAAGTTTTAACAGTGATGATATAGATTAAAAAAATAGTCTTTTCAAATCATAAGATATCAACTGTTTAGCATATTGTGTATAAGGACATTCGTACATTGAAGTTTTTCATTTAAGATGTAGCACTAAAGATTTTTTATTAAGAATGTGATTATGTTAATACTGTGTATAGAGATTGACCATTATAATATTGTATTTATTACAAATTATGCATGCAGTAGATTCAGAAGTTTATTTTGGAATGTGCAAATTTAATCACGTAACGGTAATTAAACTTACCATTTTAAACTTTAGCTACTGTATGTACTTTGCACATAATCATTTCGTGTAAAACATGAACGCATAGACTTAGAAAGTAAACCCAGAAGGGATATTCAGCGTTGCACGAATTCTGATCCGAGGTAGCGACATACTCGAGAACATAATACAGTATATGTCAAGGCTTCATGAATTATTAAAATCTTGACAAGAACTTCATAAGCATTTAAACTGTCGATAACCAAATAAGTCTTGGAATAATATTAAAATAATCGAAGGATAAGATGAATCTTATGTGATGTCTTTTCCATGAATTGTATTGAATTAGTTTCTGAATGTCTGATAAGTTGTGAAGCAATTCTTGCTATCCTGATCCAATTCTTCAAAGCAGATTTGAAACATATCCTACAGAATATATCGAATAATTGTGGATTTCTCTCCTTTTTAGTTTTTTTTAATATCACATCACTCTGTTTGAATATTTGTACAATTTCATGGTTTCTTGCAAATCGGAAGGCCTATACCTCACATTTATAAAAATCGAATGACATGAAATTAGGGTCAGAGAGATGCTTTCTTGAAAAAGATCCGAAATATCTGAAATCATTAACACAATAAACGCTTTATCCAAAAATTTCGAGATTTGAAGCCAATGTAGGCGCATTTAATGCCATTTTTGCATCCTTAAGTTTCCTGACTTCTGATTACAATTATGAATGGGATTCATCCTTTTCAATAGCAGTTGGCCTTACAGTACTACTCTTGGTCGCTTCTGTAGTATTCTTATGCTTTCAGTTTCATAAGGTAATTTTTCAACCTTCAACTCGGATTAAGATGTCATTAAGTGTTTTATGTATGACTCGTAAATAAAAAAATTTTTTTTAATCAATCATTTGTGTATAACGATGTTTTATTAATGAACTGGACTCGATCTCCTTAAATCTATGATTCGTTTGGAAAAATAAATTTTCGTATGTTTGATCGAAACATGGTAATCTTTTATAAACAATAATATAATAATTAAAAAAATTTATTAGCGATATAAATTTCATATAAATAAATTATTTTTAAATTGTTTATTGATATATTATAAAAGTTTTCTGATAGATTGAATTATTGTTTTTTTTTCAAAAAAAAATTGGTTTATACCAAAATTTATGAATTCATTAAGATCATTTACAATATACAAATTTACCAACATTAAAAATAGAATTTACAAGTCTTAATTTTTATGACGGTTAAATACTGTAAATAAAACAAATTTAACTACATGTCACAACATATTTAACAAACAAATAATTCTAACCAGATTAAAAACCAAATTAGTCTCAAAACAGCAAACATCGGTGACTTATGGGAATTTTGATTGGTTTTCGGAGAAATTTTATGGTTAAGTGAATTATGATTATCAAGTGTTATGATTTTTTGGAGGTTTGTCGATTGTGCAAAACGTTTTACGACTTTGAATATAACCATGGCGAAAACTATTGACGGAAAGGCTATTGCAAAGTATATATAATTCTTTTAATGATAATATGGCGGTGAATGAAATCGAAAAACCGTCCTTTTTTTCTTGCTCAATGACGTTAAACATATTTTAATGCAGGTCCATTCGAGACCAAATTCAAGAAGATATAACCGATTTGAAGAGAAAGTACGCTATTTTTAAACCCCATCTTGCAATTATTCAAGTTGGTAATAGAGAAGATTCCACAATCTACGTAAAGCAAAAGGAGAAGGCTGCTAAAGATGTTTGTTTCTCTCACATATAGTTGATTGATACGATTAATGAATAATATGTGACAAATTTCTGGCGTTTTAGGCTGGAATAGAGTTCAGCATAGAAAAGAAAAATGATTCCATCACTCAACAGGAGGTACTATCGTTAATTGACATTTCTATTTGTTTTTAATGACATTTTCTAATTATTTTTAAATCTTGTAACGTAGTTGTTGAAATTGATTCGTGATCTAAATGATAATCCACTAATCCATGGAATACTCGTTCAACTTCCATTGCCAGGCCATATTGATGAAAAACGTGTTACGGAAGCGATTAACCCCAAAAAGGATGTAGACGGGTGAGACTTCAAAATATCAAAATCGACATTTTTTATTCATGGTTTAAGTCGATGTAATATTACCTCGTCGTTCTAGATTTCACGCAAATAATATTGGAAGTTTGACTAAAAGAAATGGGAGACCTCTATTTTTACCCTGTACCCCCAAAGGAATACTTGAATTATTGAAACGAACTGGTATTTTCTTAAAATCGATCAACTTAATGTTCACTAATTTGCGACACAATCTTAAGTTTTTTTTGTAAATTATGCTAGGAGTTGAAATTTCTGGTAAACGCGCCGTTGTAATTGGACGTAGTGATATTGTGGTAAATATTAAATCCCTTCGTCTAATCATTCTAATAAAAAATTAATTTTATTGATATCTTTCAAATAATAGGGTTTCCCGATTTTTGTTTTATTATCGCGAAACAATGCCACGGCTACCCTATGTCATTCCAAGACCGAAAACCTTCCAGAAATAGTTTGTATATGCTCTTTATTTTTATTTATTTACATAAACATTTGTTATTAAAATATGTATCTATTTTTAATTTCAGGTCAAGACGGCTGATATTTTAGTCGTTTCTATAGGATGTGCGGAATATGTCAAGGGTGACTGGATAAAACCTGGTGCTGTGGTTATTGATGTTGGAACGAATGCAATCGAAGGTATTTATAATAAGTTTGCTTTTCAACTTCCTGTTACTAATTTTAATAGATATTTTTTGTAGACCTTACTAAAAAATCTGGAATTAGATGGGTAGGTGATGTAGAATTTTCAACCGCATCTAAAGTGGCATCCTATATAACCCCAGTTCCTGGTGGAGTTGGACCAATGACAGTTGCAATGTTAATGGAAAATACACTTGAAAGTGCAAAGAGATACCTTAAAGATAGCAGCGAACGAAATATTTCCATTTTACCTTTGAAACTTCAATCTCCTGTTCCAAGTGATATTGATATATCAATAGCTCAAAAACCCAAGTCTATTAAGTCTTTGGCTAAAGAATTAAGTTTGGCACCGAACGAGGTATTATTAACCAGCATCAATATATATTTATGTCAATGCAACGAGATTTAATTTATTACTTTAAATCTTTTTCTAGTATGAGTTATATGGGCATAACAAGGCTAAGGTTAATCTTTCGGTGCTCGAAAGATTGAAATCAAGAAAGAATGGCAAATACATTGTTGTTACTAGGTATATGTTGCAAATCTTAGTAGAATTCTATTTACATAAATTACTTTCTTGATCATCGAGTATACTTATATTCCAACATTGTACGATTAGCATTACTCCTACTCCATTAGGAGAAGGAAAATCGACTACAACTATTGGTATTGCGCAGGCCTTAGGAGCTCATTTAGGAAAGCTCGCATTCGCGTGTATTAGACAACCATCTCAAGGCCCCATATTCGGCATAAAAGGCGGAGCAGCTGGAGGTGGATACTCCCAGGTGATACCGATGGAAGAATTTAATTTGCATTTAACTGGCGATATGCATGCTGTTACTGCTGCTAATAATCTATTGGGTAAGTTTTAATGTGATGAATGGATTGCACGTTCTTGGCAAAACAATCTCGAATTCTTTCCTATCAATATATATTTAAGCGGCTGCGATTGACACACGAATATTTCATGAAAATACACAATCTGACAAGGTAATATTTACTAACAAGTAACTTTGTTATCATTATATTTATCTCATCTTCTTTCGTTTTAATTTATATAGGCCCTTTTTAATCGCTTATGTCCTCCTGTAAAGGGAATTCGCAACTTTGCGCCTGTAATGCTGAAACGTTTAAAAAAACTTGGGATTGATAAAACCAATCCTGATGATTTGACATCCGAGGAAGTCAATAAATTTGTTAGATTGAATATCGACTCTAACACTATTACATGGTTTGTTTTTATTTGATATTATTAGAATTAGGTCATTTTATATAACTCACTTGCTATTTCACAACTTCGCTATAATGTAGGCAGAGAATAATGGACACAAATGATCGATTTTTGCGCCGCATAACGATTGGTCAGTGTGAAACGGAAAAAGGACAAACACGTCAAACAGGATTTGACATTTCCCCGGCATCCGAATGTATGGCAGTACTTGCATTAAGTACATCATTGGCTGATATGCGTGAAAGATTAGGTAGAATGGTGGTAGCCACTGATAGATCTGGAAATTCAATAACAGCTGATGATCTTGGAGTAGGAGGGGCATTAACAGTGCTAATGAAAGATGCAATAAATCCAAATCTTATGCAAACATTAGAAGGAACTCCGGTGTTTGTCCACGCAGGACCGTTTGCTAACATTGCTCATGGTAATAATTCAATATTGGCTGATAAGATCGCTTTGAAATTAGCGGGAGCAGAATGTGATAGGGAAGGTAACGTAATTGAAGGTGGAAGGTATGGATACGTGGTGACGGAGTCTGGATTTGGCGCTGATATGGGAATGGAAAAGTTTTTTAACATCAAGTGTAGAATATCTGGTCTGATACCTGATGCTGTCGTGTTAGTGTCTACTGTAAGAGCTTTAAAGATGCACGGAGGTGGTCCGACAGTGAGTCTAATGCTAATTCCTCTTGTGTTTCTCACATAATTTATATAATATTAATTTCTCATTTTACTCGTTTTATTTTATAGGTTACACCAGGAAAGCCGTTACATGAAGCATATTTCAGTGAAAATCTCGAATTATTAGAAAAAGGATGCGAGAACTTAGTTAAACATATCCAAAACGCAAGAAAATATGGATTACCGGTTATAGTTGCTATTAATAAATTTACGTGAGTAATTGCGAATGTATTATTAATCGTTTTTTTTTTTAAAAAAAAGATTTTAAGATTTACTTATGATAAATTTAGGGCCGATACCGAATCAGAATTGTCATTAATTCGTAAGATTTCCATAGAGGCTGGGGCTACCGATGCAGTACCGACTTCCCACTGGGAGTTAGGTGGGGCAGGAGCTGTTGAGTTAGGGAAAGCAATAATTAAAGCAACGGAAGACGAAACAGAAAAACGAGAATTCAAATTTTTATATGACGTCGAAAAACCCATTGTAGAGAAGATTGAGATTATTGCAAAGGAGATGTATGGCGCTGATGGAATAGAGTTAAGCGAACTATCAAAGGAAAAGGTGAAGTTGTACACTCAACAGGTACGTTATGCGCAAGCCCGATGTGCATAAGAAAGGAGAGAAAATGAAAACTTATATTTTTTTCGTAATCTAGGGATTCGCAAATTTACCGGTATGCATGGCCAAAACCCATTTATCTCTCTCGCATGACCCAACTCTCAAAGGTGCTCCTAAGGGATTTATTGTACCGATCCGTGATATTAGAGCTTCTGTTGGTGCTGGATTTCTGTACCCATTATTGGGCGAAATGCAAACGATGCCTGGATTACCTACTGTTAGTATATATCTTGGTATTTTCTGTCTTTGATTATGTCGATATTAATATTATTACTTTGTGGTTCGATTTAGCGGCCATGTTTCTTTGATGTCGATTTGGATCCGGAGACTGGTAGAATCTACGGGTTATTTTAACCCATGTAATTTATCCTAAGTGTAAACTATTTACTTAATGAGGTCAAGCCTTCTTTTCTAAAAATCTAAATTATTACTATAAAATTTGTTGGTAAGTCTTCAGATTAAGCATTTTTATAATGAAATTACTGTATCTCCCTAATTTCTACAAACCTGATTAAAAGCCATTATATAAGATTTCAACTTATCAATATAGATTTATGTATTTTAATTTATAGTTTAATGAATAAAAATTAATATACATTATAATAAATATAAATATAAAATTTATTAATTTTTTGTATTTAGTTTTTTGTAAAAAAAAGCTTAATATAAAAGGTAATGAATTTTTATTTATAACAGAATTATAAGTTGTTATAAAAAGATTTAATCATTTTATATATAAGTTTGATTTTAAAATACTTTAAAAACATATAGTAAATTTATATTAGTTCATTATTATTTTTATTAAAATAAAAAAATTATCTATATACACTTATATTATATATTATAACTTGTAATTAAACTAATGTAATATATTTATTAAATTATATTAAATTATTACAAATATTAGAAAATAAATAAATATATACAGTGGTATCCAAAAGTTTTTTTTTTCAGATAAAGAGTGCTAATAGCACATGGTTTTTATTGAGTGATTTATATCCAATTATATGACTACAAGATTTATTTAAGTTAACTTGCACTTCCACTTATAGCCTTACCCAGTTATACCGATTTATCCATCGCAAGGATGGATCCACACATTAGGTGAAATTTTTAAGAAATAGAAATCCTACTACTAGTTTTAAATTATCTAATCTAATCTAAATTTTGACAGTTATTATTTGAAGCATGTACCTTTTAGGATTGGTTAGAACATTCAGATAATCCATTTAATACTTTTGCCTAATTTTTTGAAGAAGATACTGTATTCTTTGTTACTACTTGTGACTTGGTATCTGTAAAAGTCTTAAATAAATTATTAGTGATTTAAAAAGACAGTAAACTTAAGTGATTATAATTTTAACATCAATAGAATTGAAACTTTATTAAGGTCAAAAAAGCATCCTTTTATATATGTTGGCTTTATATAATATAAAAATATATAAATAAATAAATAAAAATATATATATCTATATTGGACTTAATCTCTGGAAACATATGTACTTAATTAACATAATGAAACGAAAAAGTAAATAAAAAGAGAAAAAGTAAATAGAAAAAGATAAAAGGAAAAAGATATGCACACTCTATGACCTTATACTCCTAATTTAATTATATTAACTTATAGTAATTTAATTAGTGGCACTTGGTGACATGTCACATCATTAAAAATTAGAATCACACCATACATGCATTTGACAATCATTTGAAAACATGTCTCAAACTTGTAGGTCATCAGGGGTAGATCAGATACCTTCTGGGGGCATCTAGTTCTCAAAGCACAATATAGGTCCTGTAGTGCAGTCACAATCAGAATTGTTATATTCTCCTCTCCTTAGAATTTGATATCCTTGTCAACTTAAATTCTTAGAGTTTTTCTTAAGCATTGGTCAGATTTTCTTGGGGTTTCCAGGTGACATTGTGCAATGGATATTCAGTTCATTTGATGAGATATTGAAGCTTATTTCAGACAACTTGCTTGTCCAGAATAGCCTCTATTTCATATTCTTCTATTATAATTGCAGAGATATAGGTGACTGGTGATAGTGTTGATTTTTTGAATTCCTCTGGTAATGGTTTATATGACTTAAGTAGTAAAACATGGAACACAGAGTAAATCTTTAAGGTGGCAGGCAGCTTTAGCTTATAGGCAGTTTTTGAGATAACTTTGGTAATAGTGTAAGATTTAGCAAATCTTGATGTTAGCTTCTTGGTGAAATGGTTCTGGTCCATAGGATTGTTAAAGTTTCATAAAGATAGTAATACTTGGTCTCCTTCTTGAAATGTCAGATGGCATCAGTATTAATTGGCATACTTTATTTGGTGGTCTTGTGTTTCCATCAGAATATCTTTGGTGATCTTGATTATAATGTTTCAATAATGCATGAAGTCATGGGCAGTTGATACAAATGTTGATGTTACAAGTGTCAGGAATGTCTTGGGATGTTGTCCACAATCTAACTCGAAAGGTATAAAATCAATTGATGCTTGTTTGGTATTGTTGTATGCAAACTTGGTAGTAGGCAAGTACTTATCCCATTGGTTTTGCTTGTAGGTAGTATATATATACAGTGTTTCTTTCAAGATTCTATTGAGATGTTTTGTTTGTCCATCTGTTTGGGAATGAAATGCTATTGATATGGCAGTTTTTGTATCCAGTTGTTAAAACAGGATTTGCTAAAAATAGCCGGTGAATCGAATATTTTTATCTGACACAATGGCTCTTGGTAATCTATAGTGCTTGAAAATTTCAGAGAAAAAGATCTTGACAACTTTTGGTGCAGTAGCAGTAATATGTATTAAACAAAAGTAGGCTCTTTTGAATAGACTATTGATAAACACAATAATAATGTCATATCCTTTCTTGATAACAGGTAGTTGGATAATAAAATCCATGGTGACTTCTTTCCATTTGTGGTTTGGCATTGGCAGGGTTGTAATAGTCTGGCAGGTTGCTGATTGCTAGATTTGTTTTGCTAACACAGATCACATATTAATATATATTTTTATATGTCTTTACTTATCTTGGACCAATAGTAACTTCTCATAATAGTGTCCAAAATCTTGTCAATACTCAGGTGTCTGGTGATATCAATGTCATTGTGTTCTCTAAGGATGTGGTTTCTCAATATTTTATTCTTGGAAATGACTAGGTGGTAGTCTTTCTTCAAGTAGATGCAATCGGCATCCAATTTAAAGTATTTGATATAAGTTTTGTCTTTCTCTATGACTTGGGTTGGGTCTCTCAGAATGATTAAAATTTTGAAAAAATATTTGTCACTGGTATATTCTTCTTCAAAAGTCTCATTATTTATTAGTTTGATAGCAAATGTAGAAATAGTGGCAAGGTGTGGCTGTCTAAAAAAGGCGTTTGCTACAATATTGGTTTTTCCTGATTAGTATACAAATTTAAAGTTATTGGCTTGGAAGGTTTTCAACTATTTGGCTTATCATCTAAACAAATTCGATTGGGTTTTAATATATTCCAGGAAGGCATGATCGATAATAACAATGAAACATTGTCCCTTCAAATACATATGCTAGAGTCTGATAGCATGTACTATAGCTAACAACTTCTTTTCTTGCACAAAATAGTTTTGTTTAACTGGCAACAACTTTCTGGATTCATATGCAACTGATTGTTCTTTTTTTCTATGGTTTTGTATCAGAATAGCTCTGAAGGTAAAGTCAAAGGTATCTATGGTAATGGTGAAGAATTTGTTTAAATTAGGCAAGAACAAAACCGGAGCCATGATGAGGGCTTCTTTAAGCTTCTCAAATGCTTCTTATTCAGGCATGTTTCATGCAAACTCTTTGTTTTTATGCAGGAAGGTGGTAAAAGGAGTGGCAAGAGCAGAAAATCCTTGAACAAACTTCCTATAATAACTTGCTAATCCTAAAAAGAATCTAACTTCTAACACATTGATAGGTACCAGCCAATTTTGAATAGTAGTGATCTTCTGGGGATTTATAGTAATTTCTTTGGCAGAGATATAATATCCAGTATATTCAACTTTTAAGCACAGCAATTCATACTTCTTGGTCTTGGCATATAATTAGTGTTGACACAGGGTAATCAAAACAGTCTTCAGATATTACAGGTGGTCTTTTTTGGTTTTGCTGTAGATCAGAATATTATCCAAGTACATGATGACAAAATTATCCAATACTTTCAGAAAATATCATTCATTAATGTCATAAATGTTGCAAGGGCATTGGTCAATTCAAAAGGTAGTACAGGAAACTTATAGTGGCCATATCTGATTCTAAAAGTGGTCTTTGATATATCTTTTTCTTTGATACTGTTGTCGTCACCGGCGAGTCTGTCGCTAAAACGGTGCACTCTTCGCGTGACGATAATCCGAATGCTTGGATTATGG